TGTTGTTGTTGGTGGTGTTGCTGCTGCTGTTATTGTTGTTGCTGCTGCTGGTGTTGTTGTTAGTGTTGTTGTTGTTGTCGTCGTCGTCGTCGTCGAGGCAGCTGCTGCTGCTGCTGCTGCTGCTGCTGTTGCTGCTGCTGCTGTTGCTGTTGTTGTTCGTGGCCGCGGGTAAATAATACTATTGTGAGCTCAGTAGCCAAGCAAAGATTCGGGATCAGAAAGGAAGGCCCGGAGGCCGCAGTTGCTGGGGTGTAATTACGGGAGGGCTGTGGGGTGGCGCGCGCTGGGGTGTATCCCCCCTGACCTTGCTCTGGCCGCGCGCGCTGTTACCGCCTGTTCCGGTTACGGAGACTACTCACATTGGTTACTGGCCCCAGCGGCAGATGGCAGAGCTGCGAAAGGAGCGTCGCCGCTCCACACCTTGCCACCTCAAAGCACAAAGTGAAGATTTGAAGCTCTATGCTCGGCTCCATCTGAGGCTCGGACCGACTCCGGCCTGCTTGCTGTACCGGGACCGGTGAATGTCCCCCCCGTGCCTCAGAAAAAGGACGGATATCAAAGCGGCGTTGTGGCGTAGATCATGGCTGGCGCACTCAATCAGTAGCTGGGTTAAATGACGATCCTGAGCTGGACACGAACTGATCAATCACCCTTCATGTCCACACGGCGTCACATTGCGTCACGATTGGATGTCTCTACGTCTGAGGGTCTGGACCCCAGATGTGACCCCGAACTGTAGCGGACAGCCTTCCTTGGAGCCAGGGACAGGAAAAAGCTCTGCGCTACATGTGCAACAAACGGAGGGCACCACAGGCACATGCTAACTGGGTGGCCCCAACTGCAAACTCCACGTTGTGAAGCTTAAAACGCGAGGTGAAGCGATGATTTGGGTCAGCTCCTCGGAATGCTCGGGCTAGGACTCCATTGCAGCATGTTGCCAACCTTTCCCCATGTTGATTGCTGTCTGGGGCCATCGGCGTCGCTCTAAAAGTGCCTTCAGCAGCGAACGCTTGGGTACTTTCTCTGCCTGCAGGCAGCGAGGCACACAAGCTTCAAAGGCATCAGCAAGCCATTCGTCCTGAAACAACTGGAGTACGTTCTCGTTCAGATTCTCGCCCGAAGGGGATGCCTCCGTCACAGCTCAGCACAGTCCACGGACTGCGGCAATCGTAGCGTCTTGGCTTCTAAGGTTCTAGAGACACTAACTGTGCCTCTGTACTGCACTCATCTGAGTGTGGTGCCACCTCCTCTCGGTGCACACGGAGCTTGGACTCTCTGCACTTTTGCGGACGAAGCACTAAAGCTCGTGGACACTTCTTCGACAGTCCGACAGTCCTTGGCAACCACGTCTGCCTGGCTGCCGTTTTTTCCACACTTGAAAAGAACGGAGCAGCTTGGCGATGGAATGCACCCCATCTCACTGGCGACACACTGTCTGGAACGCTCTACTCAGATCCAACCGTGCGCCTGCTGACACGAGCTTGTTGACTCACAAAGTCATACTCATCAAGTGCATGACGGGCAAAAGCACCACAAGCACTGCTCTCACCGGCAAACTCGCTGCTGCTACCTGCCGCTTGCAAGACCTTCAGGACTGGAACGTATCGCAAGAGTCCCCAAAAAAAGATCGTTTATGCACTTTTCAGGCATGAACGGCCCGATACCCGCGGATACCACAACATCCTGCAGCACAAACAGATTAATCAGACCCGGGTGGATGGTGCTCGTAGACCGGCAGCATTAAACCCTAAACCCGCTACCTGGGCTAGGCCAGGCTTCCTTGTTCAGGAACATGCGATGGAGTTTTATGTACAGCTAGCGCTGGCCCCTGTACAGAAATACACTGCGTGAACTCTGCGTGAGCAATGCTCATCCATCCAGCAAGGCCGTGTTGCGCATGAATCTGAACAACTTGACCGTGTGACCTGCTGCTTGGAAGCAAGCTGCCGTTCTGCCTCAGCTGCACACGCTGCACAAATGACGACGGGGCATGGAGCGCATGCGCCGGCCCAAGCCTGCTTCCCTGGATCTGGCACTACTTCTCGAGATGCAGGTCCTCCAAGATTGCCTGCAGGTCGCGCACTTTTTCTGGTTCGTGGGTCTGAACAACCCTGACCTGGGACTGGACTAGCCCATTGATTGGAAGCCACTGGCTCGGACCTGGCGGACTGCACCAGAAGGCTTGCGAAGAGCAGCAATTTCCGGCAGAGGGGTCGGGCAAGGCCAGCGAATGCTACGAGGATGTCTGCACTCATCGGCAGCATCACCAACATGGGCCCTCAACAGCATATATTAATTGAGTTTAATCGTTAAGCATATCGACATCACCATGAGTCGGGACGGGAACGGCTTTGTGGAGGAGGGGTGACCGTCGGCATTATCAACACCAGCATCATCCAGCAAAAACAAACCAACCCAACGGCCAGCAGCATCATCGTCGATGTATGTCGAAATACTCATAAAGAGTCAAAACGAATAGGAACATCATCGGCCCCATCAGCAACATCGTGTTCATCATCAACATCGCGTTATCTTTTCACATACATCACATTCGGCACCATCACCATCAACAACATTATCATCAACAACATTAACATCAACAGCATCAGGATCATCATCATCATCATCATCATCATAAATAACATCATCTGACATCATCTGTTTTACCAACATCACCTTCAGCACAATCACCATCAACAATACTATCATCAACAGCATCAGGCCGTCATCTGCAGCATCACGGCTTCATCATCACAATCATCATTAGCAGCAGCATTAGCAGCATCACCGTCCCCAGCAGCAATCGAAGCGACATGTTTCGACTAGTGACAATCAATGCTTGATCGATGCCACGCTTCACTCCCTCGTCTCCCTTGTTTGGTCGTGTTCGTCAGGAAGGTTGGCGTTCGAGCTTCCGATGAACGCTTGAGGCTGGAGGAGCCACTGCCACTGCCCGTTGCCTGAGACCTGCAGTTCGTGGCGTACGCTCACCATGCCACTTAGCACGTTCTGTGCTTTCCGACATGTTCCGGCTAGTCAATCAGAGATTGATAGCTGCCGCGCTTCACTCTCTCGTCTCATTCGCAGGCATCGTCCGAAGTGATGACGAGAAGACAGCCACCAGCCCGGGTCGCCATTTTCAGGCCCCCTAACCTCCAAGCACAACGCCGATTGTTATTTCCTGCACGAGTGCAGTGCACAGCAAACATCATGGTCAAAATTACCCTCGGCATCATGAAACTTCATCGTTAAAGAACCTACCATCACCTTTCCACGTGAAGGGAATCATCATGAGCACCATCATTGCTAACCATCGTCAGCCAGCAACATCGTGCAACAGCAGCACAAGCAAAACAACCCATCGTCTTCTCAGGGCACAGAAATGAAACCACACGGGGGGCCGCTCTAACAGTGGCTTTGTCAGATCCCAGAGCTGGGACACAGCTAGGACCAGGTGTAGGAGGGGCTCCCAGCTCCCGGCCGGCCTCGAGGGCCACTGCAAAGCTGAGACTGAGCTTAGAGTCTAGAGGCAGACTCTATGCCGTCTCAAAAGCTTCTAAGGTCCTAAAACACAGAAGTCCATCCAGAGCCAGAGCCACTGAGCGGCTTTCAAGCCAAGCTGCCTACCAAAATGATTCCCAGAAGGACACTACGGGATCAACAATCTCGAGGAACTCGCAGGGGGTTCCACAGGTTCTTGTAGACTCTGCGCAATGAAACGGGAGGCCAGGTCCCTCCATCTCCTCATAAGCTTCTTTGTCTGCACGGAGAGCCAGACTGTCCACCCACACCCACGCAGTGTCATAATATGCCACGATTGATCCCTGCCGCTCCGAAAACCCCAAGCGGTGTCGAGGTGGCAGACGTCGCGGCTTCTCCCGAACCTGCGCTTCGCTTCGCTCGCTCCGCTCCGCTCATCACATCAGAAGTGTCGGCCTCGGCCTGGAGATCCCCGAGCTCCCCGAGCCCATCCTGCGGCGGCTGCAACTCCGGCAATTCCTTGCCTGCCCCCTTGTGCACCCATGCCCTGCATGCCTTCGGCTTGGCACTGCGCTTTGCCCTGAGTGCAGCAGGCCCGCGAAAGACCCCAACAGCACTCCACGACTCGGTCGCCGGCTTCTTCTTTACAAAAGCCCGCTTGCCTGCCCAAGTGCGGCTCTCAGTTTCTCAGCCATGGCGGCACTCCCGGCCAGTGGCCTGGCAGCTTGGCGGGAGCATCCGCATCCTCATGAGCCTACGAGCGGCCAGGAGGGACCGCAGATGGGATGCTTGAGTTGAAGCAGGGTGATCCGACGCCTGAAGACTTAGATAGGATGCTTTTCATCTTATTCTGCCGGTCGCTCACCCGAAGAATGGAGCGGCACAGCTCTGAGCGGCAAATAAGCAGACAGTCGCAGGGCCTGCAAGTCAGATAGTTGTAGGATCCCAAACCACAAACTGAATGAATGCCAGGGCACACAGACGGAACAGCAACGCGCAACCGGCAAACGCTAGTCTGCGCTGCTAGTATGCAGCATGCAGAAGTGCTTTTTGTGGTCCGTCGACGTTAAGAAAGCTCAGTGGTGATCAACCTGTAGCAGGTGCAGCTGTTGTTGCTGATGTTCCTTCCCGACCCCCCAACGCCCCAGCACTGCCAACAACAGAATGACTGGCATTCACAGCAACAGCAACCCACAAGAACAACGACGACAAAACATCCAAAACCATCCCAACAACGACACTTCACCTTCCGCCTCACCTGCTGCGCCTCCCTCCATCAGACAAACCCCCCCCACCAAACAAGGCCAGCAGAGTGTTTGCCTCAAGGGTCTGCATGCAGGAAAGGAGGTACTGGTAGAATGTCAGTTTAGGGTCCGATGGCGGGAATGGCAACGGCAGAGGCGCATTCGGTGCTCGCAGCTATCGCGCCTCAGCTCCAAGGTCTGGGCCAGCCTGACATGTCTCAATGCTCAATACTTTCACCATTGCCCACATGGACTACTCCATCTACTCGCAGTGTCCTCGCCATCCCCTGGAGCACTGGAGCTTGATTCCTGCTAAGTTACACCAACACAACTTCAGCAGGGGGCGACGAAAGGATAGAAGCGGAACAAGACAGGCCGTGTTACAGTCTCTCTTGCTCGAGTCATCTGGCAGTGCTACGACAATTTCTGATTGCAGTTGCAGAATGTTGCAGATCATGGTGGCGATTGGCTATCGGAGTTCTGGGCTTCGAAGGAAAAGTGGGGGGGGGGGGGGGGGGGNNGGGCGCAGTCGGCCGAAGGGATCGAAGGTGGGGATCCAATTCCTCTCAGTTGAAGCACGCTGGTGGTTTTTGGCTCTCAAAGTCACCTCCGGCCCCATCCAACATTCGGACCTAGCGACCCCTGGTCACGTGACTTGAAGGTGTGGCAGGGAACCTGTTGCCAGCGATAGAGAACGTGGAGAACAAGATGAATACAACTAAGTGAAAAAACTCTGGCATCCCTGGCGTCAGATATCAGACGCAGACGCCTGAAGTTGAGGCAGCGTAGATATGTGTTCTTGATGTGTCCATTTGGTCAGCGGGCTCACTTGTAAATGGAACTTCCATGCTTTGAGGCACGAGTGACTTGGAAAGGACTACGACTACGACACTGGTCAATGAGATTCAGGTTGTTGCAGCTCCTCGAGATAGCTGCGGGGCTCAGCCTTCTGAACCTGCGCTCGCACGAACATCCGGTGTCGGCAGGTCTTGCCCTGCAATGAGCAAAACAAGCTGGCCTCAGGCATAGCTTGAGCATGCTCTGACCTCAGCACCAGCACGATGTCTTCCGTTCGTGTCGATGTTCATGTGGAGTTCGTCTATCATCGTTCAGCAAATTTCAGCAACTGACGAGAAAGCTGCGGACCAGGCAAGGGAAACGAGATTCGCTTGTGACTGCTCCGTGGAAAGACTTGACGAGCATCTCATATGAGTTTATCAGCTGGGTCTGGCCTGCATGCGACCGTAGGTGATCCTACGCCGGATGCCACTTAAATCCTTAAGGACCTCATGGTGATCTCTGCTTGAGCCAGAGGCAGCGCGGATGTAGCACGGCCACTTACAACGATTCGCACTGCCGCAAGTCTCAAAACATACAAAAACAGCAAGCTGAGCCGAGTTAAAATCTCAGGCAAACAAACTATCACACCTCGAGTCTCGAAAACACAGAAGCTGACTGTCAGAAATCGTTGGCTCAGCTCGTTTCTCATGCTTGACCTGCTTTAATTGTCGCCTTGCACAGGAAACGAGATCAAAGGAGCGACCAGGGCGGTCACAAAGCATTAACACTGTAAAAAGCTCCATTTGGAGCCTATGACCCTTGAAGCGCCCCTTCTTTGTCCTGCGGCGCACGCTGAAAACAGACTCTGCTTTCGGGACGACATTTTGCAGTGTCCTACACTTCATCGCTCTCGATGAACTCGGTGTCGGCTTGCGGGGGACGACCTGGCAGCACAACCCACTGCTCCAAGAGCCCAGCATACTTCTCGGTGCACGCACGGGTTGCTAACCGCCACACCTCCAGCTGGATGCCGCTTTGCCCTTGTCAGGCAGCAATTCATTTACGCCACGCAGACTCAACACTAGCTCGCTGGGTCCGTTTCTGAGGCTGCAAATCCTCACTTTCCGAGTCTTCCTCCTCACCTGATGCGAAAGCAGGAGTGGTCCGGCAAGATCCTGCAACGAAGCACACCTATTCGCCAAAATCTGAGTTTGCCACTGGAAGATTCACCTGCACCCTGCCGTTGCGGCGATCTTTGCGCCGTGTTTTGTGTACGAGGTGCTGATGACATACCGCCTAAGCCATTGATTGCAACGTAAACTTCCCACTTGACTGCAGCGTGTAGCAAGCGCTGACATCTGCAGGTTTGCGGGGACTCAAGCATCCCGGGCTGTCTGTTTTAAGTGCCACTGGGCATCAAGCTAAGGAAACGAACCTGAATCTGAAATCTGCCGTTCCATGATCAAGTTCAGACAACATGCACAGGAAGAGCTTCAAAAATCCGCCGAGGCGTCAGCCGCTGCTCGACCCTTGGAACCTTGGATGCTGTGCCCCTGGCAAGACATCTTTCGGGAAATTGCTCAGAGCGCGGCGTTGGAGATGTTCTTATGGGCTGAGGCTTAGTCCTTCCATCATCGAGACAGGATGATGCCACAGCATGCCGCGGCTGTGGAAGCCTCATCGTGGCACTGGGCGGAGGCCTCAGTTGAGACGCCGCGTGGAGACTTGGCGGCGGAGGCCTAGGCTCGGCCCCTTCCTTGGGGCTCCGGCAGCGGAGGCGCAGGCGGAGGCTTCCGTGGGAAGAGGCACTGGAAGAGGCTCCGCGACCGCCTCGCTCAGTGAGCTGTGTGATACATACCTACCGTATTCGCCATCTTCCGGCAGCGTGCCGTCCGTGTCATGTCACTCCCGCCTGGCTTCGTCAAGCTCCAGGTACAGATCCTCTTGGCGCAGAGCTTCCTGCTGCACCTTGGCTTTGCCACGAGATGCTGGAGACCAATATTTACGCCTGCCATCTCCTCACACAGTGCCTCCTCATGCAGGAAATCTCTTTCCTGCTTCAGCTCGAGCGCTGTGTGATCCTGCGCACTCCGCAAGGGCATGAATCATGAACTGTCAATCGTGCCGTCAACTTAGGCTGGGCCTGCCGGCACTGCAGAATATCCTGCACACCAAGCCACACTCGTAAAAACAAAGTTCGGACGACTGCTGCTTTATGATGAGTGTCTTTCTTTGTCGCCTCCTTGACGCCATGAACTTGGGCTTGGATCTCTCTGGCTTGCCTGCACGCAACAACCTCACCGCTGACTCCGTGCCAAACGTCATCCATCATGCACATCTTCCCATCAATGCGCATCACCAACGCCATAGCTGCAGGAAAACAGTCGGAAACCCCTGTTTCGGTGGGGCCCATATCAACAACTCAACCTGTGACAGCTGGAGAGGTTGGCTAAGAATGAGAAGCAATGTCATGTCGCGAAGCTGCTGTTGGTAATCACAGGCTGGTCTGGGAAAGCCCACTACTGACTGGATACGGTAAGGCGGCAGCCCTCAATGGCATGCTCTGACCTTTACCTTCGAACTGCTGAGGAGTGAAAGCATACCTTTATCAAACATGTCTGTCTTGTCAACGAACGAGCTGGGTCTGCTTCAATGCACGTGCTCCAAACCATCAGGCCATGCTCATTCACGAACCACCATTGTCAGACATAGTTGCGGGATACAAGCCCAGCATCGATGAGTCTGGTAATTTGGACAGGGCCTTGAGCATCTGCGTGCGATGTGGAGCGAAATCTTTCAAAGCAGCTCGTCAAGCAGAGACCGGCACAAGACGGTGACGGAAAGTATGATTTCAGGCAAGAACACGACCCAATCTCCTGAGGCGTTAGTGCCAGAGGCAAACTCGAACGGTACTTGGGACGAGACTGCACGCGCATTCCAGAGCGGAACGACAGCCGCCAGCCAGTGCTTTGAAGTCGCACATGCTAAGGGTTAGAAGACCTCAATCTCAAGCAACCCTTTGACAATAAGCAGCTGGCCTCGTGATCCTCTCAAGCTCAGCATTCCTGACACTTGCGGCCTGCTCGGCCTTCCAGGAGGCGTGCAGGAAGGCACGGCATGGATCAACGAGCTGTCCCAACAAATCGGAGCCTCTGCCGCTTCTTCATGCAAAAGTGTCCATTCACACCTTCCGGGACTACGAGATCCAGCTTGTGACGAGACATGACGAGACTACGGGGTCCCTTGATGTCCCTTGGGTCGATACGTGCAGAATCGACCGATGCTTCGTGAATTTCGCGAATTGTGAAAACATGTGCGCATGCTGTCCACCCAAATGTGCCCAAACTCATGCCGGGCAGTCCCTGCAGCACCCAGCGCCACAGTGCAACGCTGCTTGCTCTCCTCGGCCGCCTGCATCTCCTTAGAGCCGAGCCAGTGAACGGCTTGAAAATGGGTTGACAGGTCCTCCGAGGTGTCCTCCTCGAGCTCCTCCATCCGGTCTCGCAAAGCTGCAGCCTCGCGCTCACAGAGCACGGCCTGAAGGATGTCAAGACCCGTGCCATCTCGACGTGCTGACGCGCTCCGTCCCACGGAGCCTCGGCATTTAGATGTTGCTGCAGCTTGGTCTGGGCATCCCGGACACCTGGAGGCAGATTCTCCGACAATTCATATTTCTGTTGCTGGCAGCGCTAGCAGTGACGAGACAAATAGTTCTAGGCCAGCATGTGACAGGTTCACGGCCTTCTGTGGCATTAAACCTGCTGATACCTGCTGCAGACTGCAGCTTTGCCTCTGTGCGAGTCTTCTGCAGAGCATGTCGTTGGATTCTAGGCAGCCAAGCCTTGTGGCATAGATTGAGAACATGGTCCCTGTTGCATCCTCTTACCAATGTCACCAGTTCACGCAAGGGTATTTCCGAACTGATGTCTGCTGGGTTGAACCTCAGTCGGACACGCGATGAACACTACGACACAAGCTGGGGACCCTGGCTCTGCAACTCTGTGCCTGGGGAGTGTATCATCTCCTGAAGGCAATCAGCGGCACCGGCGACAAAGGAACAACTCGAACAACGCCTTGTTCTTCTCCCAGGCAAGCATCTCTCGCTCGCCAGCCACCTGAAAAAGCAAGGGATGATCTCGGCCGCCGCTAGCAGCCCCTCTGGGATGCTGCGCAGCGCCAGCGCCGCGCACGCGCGCGCGCGCGCGGGGGCCCCGCCTCCAGCTCGGCGCGGCCGTCTCTCTCCGCAGCCAGGTGCTCGCGCAGCTCGGTCTTGGCTCGATCGCTCTTACCCACATGTGCACGTGCAAGATCATGCGGGCCTGCACCCTTAGTGCAGCCTCCAGCTGGGCCTGCCAGAAAGAGCGTCACGGCACGAAATTTAGCTTGATCCTCACCGAAAACATACTGCCTGCAGAGAGCCACGGACTGCGACCATCGATGCCAACTGCTGTTCATAAGCCTGTGCATGTCATAGGCCACTCCAACACGCGGATCAAGCGCGTATCCAGGCTTGAGCCGTTTCAGCCCATCCTCCACTCTGGATGTGGCTTCTGCTTCTTCGTGCACCATGGCAGCCTCAGAGAGCATGCTCTTGACACACAAAGCCAACCAGCCAGCCAGGTGCAAAACCTTCCAAGGATCTCACTGAAATCTGTGTATAGACTATTAATTTCAGAATCAATGGACAATGCATTCCCAAGCACGAGCCACAAGCGATGATCGACCTGTTGCGAAGTGTTATGCACAGCACCTGGCCTGCAGCCGGTTGCGCTGCGATTCCTTTGACCACACGTGGGTGCAACCGACACGCAAAGACACACGTACCGTTAGGTCTCCTCGGAAAGCTCAGCTCCCAGGGCAGCACCTACGGTAAAATGCGGCAAAGCAGGCAAAGCAAATGCCAGGTGCGACGGCCTGGCTGCGCCAGCAAATGCCCTGCTTGGGCCCCGGCGTTCGGCCGCGGCGTCCTGCAGCTCTGCTGCGATGGCGCTGCGAGCATCTGCAAGGCGCTGCGTCAGCAGCCCAACGGTTTGGCCCTGGCGTACGACTACTCAGAGACTCCCACTACACGGCGGGAGAAAACGCGCTCGCACCTGCTCATGGCAGCGATCTCGCAGCTCCCGCATCTCGCTCGAAAGCTCCGTCTGTCATCACTCAAACGTCAGAAAAGTATGGAATGGACTTACGGTGACTGTATTCAGATATGCGGACAAGTAATAAGATAAACATATATTTTATACTACCTTTGTGAGGGGTCGGCGGGGCCACCCGTTTTTGACATATACGGAAACCTCAGCGCTTAAACCCGTCGAAGAAAAAGAAGTCGTCCCCCCACCCAACCCCACACACACACACACATCCTGGACGCCTTCCTCCGCGACCACGACAACAACATCACGCAGGAGAAGGACGTACCAGGGATTTACCGCGGGATTACAAGTTTAATAAATTTGTGGAATATTGCGGCGGTAGGGAAAATGCCATGACTGCCGCAGTCAGGTTTTAAACTGTTCCAAAGCGATGATACAACCAAAGACTTGATGCGGGTAGGACACGGAGCGTCTAGCCGAGTTGAAGTGCTTCTGCTCTTGAGTCAAAGGCTGCGGGTTTGATTCCTGTGCCGCGCATTTGTTTTCACCGGAATAGGCTGGGCTGGGGGCTGGGCTAGGCTGGCTGGGTTGGGAAGAGAGAAAAACCTGGGGGTGGGCTGGTGGGGCTGGGGGCCTGGGGGCTGGGCTTCGGACTGGGGGTTGGGAAGTAGCTTAACTGCAGCAATTAGGGCTGTTTTGGGGCTGGGCGTAAGCGAAAAATGGCGAAAAGTTCAAAAACCTGACTGCAGCAGTTTGGGCTGTTGGGCTGAGAAAAGAACCCGCCTGCGGCAGCTAGGGCCGTTCGGAGGATTTGACACCATGCACGTCCACCAAGAGGCTTAGGAGTGTGCCCGTTTGCCATTAGGCCACTTGGTCAATGCACAAGAACCCGCCTTTGTAAAACCCCAACTGCAGCAGTTAGGGTGTTTTCTCTAAACCCTACAACAGCAACTCAAATCGCATCTGAAGATCTCTCAAAACACCAAAAAGCTTCAACACATCAGGCGGCCTACTTCTTCGTGTGTGTGTGTGTGTGTGCAACATGTGTGTATAAGGTACTTCCATACATTTAAACATGCGGAGATTTAAATGGATATTTTAAACTACCTCTGTGGCTCGTGGCCCGAGCCTGCCCTCCACATGTTTAAAAGTGGTCACCCTGTAGCCTCAATCGAGCAAGCGATGATAGGCGATGTGCCTGCAGTTCTTCCGCTGCCTGTCGCTCGCAATGAAGCTCATTCATCAGGTCCTTGAGATTGCAGCATGCAGAGCTTTGGGAGTTTGAAAGTGCTCACCACCTCCTGCTCACATCGCAATCGCATTCTCCGATTGGCTCCCACCTGAAGTGCATGCGATCAAGTCAAGCAGGTGAGCCGCTTCTTGGAGCTGCTGAAGTGCTAGAGCGAGCTCCCAGGTAGGCAAAGGTGGGCTCTCTATCTGACTCTGTCTTCCCTCCGGACCCTGCTTGATGTCACGATGGCAGGATGTACGCTGTGACGAGACATGCTGCCACAGCAATGGTGTTTGGTTTGAGAAGGTTGCATCATGCATGGACTTGGACATTTCAAGACTGGGGCAGTGCCTTCACAGCAGCAGCCAAAGCTCCGTTGCTCATCCACTGCGCCGTCTTCAAGCCGCGAGCCTCGTTGAAGCATGCTTCAAACAACTTTACTCAGCAATTGCATACCGACTAACAGCACCGAGGTCTCGTCCATAGCATCGTAGCGGTTTTGCCGCACCTTAACTAGCCACTGATTCTTGGGGCGAATGCTTCGACTTCTGCGTTTAAGCCTTTCGGCGAATAGGCTACATCAACAGCAACAACAAACGGGCGAAGCTTTCGCACCATCAGCTGCAGGATACTTCAACCTGCGTTCTGGGTTTCTTCGTGTCTTGTCTGGTGATCACGCTGAAATCTGGGCGCAGAGCATGATTCATTTCGACGAGAACGACCAGGCGAGTGAAGAACGCACGTGCTGCAATCTTTCTCATGTCCCCGATCGCAAGGGCCCAGTATCCTCGACCCCAGGTTCGGTCGGATTTCTTTCTCACTACTGGCATCAATTCCCAGCTCCTGCACGAGCAGCATTGCTGCATGGCTTCTAGCAAGTCTTGTCTTGGCAACGGCCTCTTCCCATGCTACGACAGTGGGGCAGTTGGGCTGCAAAACAAGCTTTCTCAAGTGAAGCAGTTTGTCACGTTTCGCAAGATCAACCCGGAGTAAGGGGAGGTTGAATCGGCTTGGCATGTGCATCATATTCAATCACCATCATCATCCCCATCATGCTCAAACTAATCTGATCTTGGTCTTAGTGTGAATAGTCACCACCGCCATCACCTCTTCCGGGACCCCCCCACCACCAACACCATCACGATAACCATCACCATCATCATCATCATCATCATCATGACCATCACTATCACCACTACCCTCATCGCGTCATCACCACAAGCAGCGACATCATCGCCAGCATAGCACGATGGCACCATCCCGAAGATCATAGCATCGTCACCATCTTCGTCTTAAGCATCATCGTCACCACCACCACCACCNNCATCATCATCATCATCACGCAGGCCGTTATGGCCCGCCTTCCTCCTCCTACTTCTGCTCCATTGTTGCCGCCTCCTCCTCATGATCACAAGAACATGAAAGAACATGTGGTTGATGTCGTCACACTGATCGCCTAGATCATAGCTGACGTGTGCCACACACAAACACACACGCACTTAGAGTCATTGCACGCTCACTCTCATGGCCAGCATGCACCGCAATCGGATTTGCGCTTCCATTTCGGAAAGTGCTTTGGCCGTTGAATTCCAGCTTGGCTCCAGGCAAGTTTACTCGAGCTGGGTTCAGCCTTGCAGTGCAGCCATGCCGCAGCACAGCGAGGCACACGAATCACATGAAGCTTAGCCCTGGAGGAAGTTCACAGCATGCTGATGCCAGGAATGTCTTCCAACACAGCAGCGCTTGCAGTTGCTGACGCTGTTCCGTCAAGAGGATGGGCTCCAGCGCGAAGCGGTTGGAGCAGGTTTCACGGTTTCACACACTGCAAACAACCAATTCGTGCGAACAAAGCACGAATCTCTCTCCGCATGCTTCGCACAGCGGGTTAGCGCAGATGGTTCGCAAAGGACTGCAGAGATTCGCACATGGCGCACGGGGGATATCAGATTCGTGCACTGGCGGAGTAGGAGTAGT